ATAAATAAATAAGTATCAAGCCTTCTTATATATGATCTTTTATAAAATCAGGCTTCAATCCTAAGCAAAGAATGAATGAATGATAATGATGATGAAGCAAATACGCATATGATTCTTTTGATATTCAGAGTATCTCAGATATGTCACTTCGGTAAGTCTCCTGACAGGCCACCAATACTTCCTGCCCATATTAAGATGTGGGAAGTGTTGGCTAAGAGACAGTAGTGTCATCTAGCCCAGAGCTTCTTAAACTTTTTCCACTTGTGACTCCCTTTTTGCCATGGAATTTTACATGACCCCAGATACATAGATATATCTAATAGGTATAAAATAAAATATTTACTCAGGCATTGTGTGGCTGTATGACCCGTATTGTTAGTGCATTTTTTTCCTGACATTTGTGGCAGATGGAACCTCAGGAGAAAATGCTTCTAGAACATAGCCATACAGCTTGAAAATCACACACCTCATTGTTTCCGGCTGTGAAAGCCCTCAACAATACAAGTATTTACTGGTAATAAAAAGGCATTTGCAAGGCTTGCTAAACAGGCTGATTTTTCTTTTTGTGGAGTACACCTGAAACATTTTTTGCTGAGTCCACTGCAACGCTGCAATTTATTACTAACAAAGGCCTCTTCCACACAGCTGTACAATATCCACACTGAACTGGATTATATGGCAATGTGAACTCAGTTAATCCAGTTCAAAGTGGATACTGTGGATTATCTATTTTGATATTTTGAACTGGTTTATCTGAGTCCACACTCAGATAATGTGGGATTTTCTGCCTTGATATTCTGGGATACAGGGCTGTGTGGAAGGGCCCTCAGATAACCCAGTTCAAAGCATTCTGGGTTATATGGCTGTGCAGAAAAGCCGAACGTTGCTAAAATGGCATTCAGAAACTCTTTACCGTTGTCCATTTTTTTGTGACCCGAGCGTTGAGCTAAGGGGGCCCTATTTGGGGACCCACCGTTCCAGAAGCATGAAGGTGTTTAAGATCAATTAAGGGTGCGCTGTGATTTTTAACTTTGAATGTGTTTTGATGGTTTTTAGCTAGGATTTTTTAAAATTCTGGTTATATTTAATCCTGTTTTAATGTTTACATATTTGTATATTTTTACATTGTTATGCTGATGCTTTTGTGTTAAGCTGCTATGAGTCCCCTTCATAAAGCAGGGAATAATAATAATAATAATAATAATAGTGTTCTAGCTCAAAACCCATAAAGTTAATGGGCAAAAACAAACCTTGCTAGATTGACAAAAGACCCTAGTCTAGGGCCCCTTCTGCACTGCCATATAAAATCCAGATGATCTGCTTTGAACTGGATTATCTGGCAGTGAACACTCAGATAATCTGGATCAAAGCAGATGTGGATTATCTGCTTTGATAATCTGGATTATATGGCAGTGTGGAAGAGGCCTAAGTAAACACTGCCGGTACTGACACTAACATCCATTTATATTAATTATAAAGGAAGCAAGATGGGGTCAATATTCCCCCAGTAAGAATTCGATCCCTCTATGAAATTTCCTTTCAATTCCCAAATTTATGGCGGTGCAGACTGTGGGCCCTTCCACACAACCATATAACCCACAATATCGAGCCAGATAACCCACAATATCTGCTTTGAAATGAGGGCTCTTACAGAGAGGCCCAATATCCAAGGTTTTCTGTTTATCCCAGATTATCTGGCAGGATGGATTCATATAACCCAGTTTAAAGCAGAAAACCCGGGTTCAGGTCTTGAGATACAGGGCCTGTTTGGAAGGGCCCTGAGTCCATATTGCCATATAATCCAGTTCAATGTGGATTTTATACAGCTGTGTGGAAGGAGCCTGTGAGGCCTGAAAAACCATTGCTACCCAGAACTATTACATTTGCTGTGGGGACTGGGGTCCCTTCCACACAGCTGAAAAAAAATCCCACAGATCCAGGGAAGTCATGCTACCCCTCTATTCTGCCTTGGTTAGACCACAGCTGGAATACTGTGTCCAGTTCTGGGCACCACAATTGACAAGCTGGAATGTGTCCAGAGGAACTATATGAAAGATACTTAAAAAAAAAGTGAGGTTATTCCAAATACCAAATACAGACCACAAACATAAGAAATAGCTTCTGAAATTCAGATCAATGTCCCTGAGATTTTTTACACAAAGCTGGAATGTGTCCAGAGGATGGCGACTAAAATGATCAAGGGTATGGAGAACAAGCCCTATGAGGAGCAGCTTGAAGAGCTGGGCATGTTTAGCCTGTAGAAGAGAAGGCTGAGAGGAGACATGATAGCCATGTATAAATATGTGATAGGAAGTCATCGGGAGGAGGGAGCAAGTTTATTTTCTGCTGCCCTGGAGACTAGGATGCGGAACAATGGCTTCAAACTACAAGAAAGGAGAGTCCATCATGAGAAAGAACTTCCAGCTGTCTACCCTGGATGGCGGGACACTACGTCCGTCACTTTCTGTAAAAAGTCTTGGTGTCTTATTGGATCCTCTGCTCACAATGGAGGCCCAGGTCTCTGCTGTGAGCAGATCTGCGTAAGGCTAGGCAACTGGCTCCCTACCTATCTAGGAATGACTTGGCTACGGTGATCCAGGCGACGGTCATCTCGAGGCTTGACTACTGTAACACCCTCTACATTGGCCTTCCTTTGTCAGTGATCCGGAAACTGAAGCTGGTGCAAAATGCGGTGGCTCGTCTTCTCACCGGGGTGCCGGCGAGATGTTGTATCACCCCAATTCTACAACAGTTGCACTGGCTACCAATTGAGTACCGGATTACTTTCAAGGTGCTGGTACTAACCTTTAAGGTCTTATATTGTCTGGGGCCGGCGTACCTGAGGACCCGCTTATCCTCCTGCCAGAGATTACTTCGGTGGCAAGGAAACTAGTCCAATGTGGGCTAGGCAAAACTACGGTGAGGTGGATCTGTAATTGGTTAAGTGGACGAACACAGAGAATGCTCACTAATGCTTCCTCTTCATCTTGGAAAGAAGTGACAAGTGGAGTGCCGCAGGGTTCCGTCCTGGGCCTGGTCCTGTTCAACATCTTTATTAATGACTTAGATGAAGGGCTAGAAGGCATGATCATCAAGTTTGCAGACGACACCAAATTGGGAGGGATAGCCAATACTCCAGAGGACAGGAGCAGGATTCAAAACGATCTTGACAGATTAGAGAGATGGGCCAAAACTAACAAAATGAAGTTCAACAGTAACAAATGCAAGATACTCCACTTTGGCAGAAAACGAAATGCAAAGATACAGAATGGGGGACAATGCCCTGGCTCGAGAGCAGTACGTGTGAAAAAGATCTTGGAGTCCTCGTGGACAACAAGTTAAACATGAGCCAACAATGTGATGTGGCGGCAAAAAAAGCCAATGGGATTTTGGCCTGCATCAATAGGAGCATAGTGTCTAGATCTAGGGAAGTAATGCTACCCCTCTATTCCCCCTTGGTTAGACCACACCTGGAATATTGTGTTGAATTCTGGGCACCACAATTCAAGAGAGATATAGACAAACTGGAATATGTCCAGAGGAGGGACACTAAAATGATCAAGGGTCTGAAGAACAAGCCCTATGAAGAGCGGCTTAAGGAGCTGGGCATGTTTAGCCTGAAGAAGAGAAGGCTGAGAGGAGATATGATAGCCATGTATAAATATGTGAGAGGAAGCCATAGGGAGGAGGGAGCAAGCTTGTTTTCTGCTTCCCTGGAGACTAGAACGCGGAACAATGGCTTCAAACTACAAGAAAGGAGATTCCATCTGAACATTAGGAAGAACTTCCTGACTGTGAGAGCCGTTCAGCAGTGGAACTCTCTGCCCCGGAGTGTGGTGGAGGCTCCTTCTTTGGAAGCTTTTAAACAGAGGCTGGATGGCCATCTGTCAGGGGTGATTTGAATGCAAATTCCTGCTTCTTGGCAGGGGGTTGGACTGGATGGCCCATGAGGTCTCTTCCAACTCTTTGATTCTATGATTCTATGAAGTCCCCAACATCCGGACTTATCATCTGTCCTCTACTAGGCAGAGAGCCTTCTCGATTGTAGCCCCTTATTTATGGAATGCCTTGCCAGTTGAAACCCAATCTATCCGAGACCTACTTGCTTTTCGGAAAGCCTGTAAAACCTTTCTCTTCCGACAAGCTTTCGATGGGTGAATAACTCAGGACTATGTCTGTTCTTTGTTTTTATTGTATTTTAAAGTTAATTGTATTGTTTTAATCTACTGCTGTAAACCGCTCTGAGCTAAATTGGGAGTAGCGGTATCCAAGTCAGATAAATAAAGGACTTGACGATTGACAAGAATGGACAAAGTGGAATGAAATTACGGAACTCTGAAAGACGAACGCTGAGCATGAGATTAGTTTTATTTATTGTATTATATATTGATTGTTTTAACTGTTATAATTGGTTTTTTATACATATGTGCATTACTATGTAGGCATCAAATTGTGCCTTTTGTAAGCCGCCCTGAGTCCCCCCTCAGGGGTTGAGAAGTGCAGGGTAGAAGTACTAGAAATAAATAAATAAATAAATAAAATTAGCCGTTCAGCAGTGGAACTCTCTGCCCCGGAGTGTGGTGGAGGCTCCTTCTTTGGAAGCTTTTAAACAGAGGCTGGATGGCCATCTGTCAGGGGTGATTTGAATGCAATATTCCTGCTTCTTGGCAAGGAGTTAGACTGGATGGCCCACAAAGTCTCTTCCAACTCTATGATTCTATGATCTGCTTTGAACTGGGATCTATGGCAGTGTGGACTCAGTTCAAACCAGGGCTTGTGGGGTTTTCTGCCTTGATATTCTGGGTTAGATGGCTGTGTGGAAGGGTCCAGGGCCTGCCCCTTTTCTCTGTGGATGCCTCAAGTGTCCTGCCAAATGCTCCCTCCCAACGGTGCGAGGAATGTGGGGGAGGCGAGGAGATTGCACTGCTCTTGGGGGGCCGGAAGCCTTATTCCCTCCCCCCTCCCCCCACTCCCTCAAGGGCCAAACCAGAGGAAGGATATTGCCTGAGGCAGGAGTCCACCTCGCCCTCGTCGGGGCCCACCTGCCCGTCGCCGCCGTCCTCCTCGTCCACGAACTTGTTCTCGTCGTACTCGTCCACGTCCACCCGTCGGAAGCGCGCGGAGGAGACGGTGTGCTTCGCCATGGCTGCGCCCCACCTCACTCACTCACTCCCTCACCCCGACAGGCAGGCAAGGAAGGAAAGCAGGAAGAAAAAGAAGAAGAGGAAGAAGGCGGCGCTCCTTCCTCCCTCCCTCCCTCCCAAGCGGAGGCGGCGGCCTCGCGTCAGGAAAGAGGCGCCGCGCATGCGCAGGAGAAGCGCTCGCGCTTGGGGAGCGAGCGCGCGCGCGGACTCTCCCGCCGCGCGGCACTTGCCATGGCGAAATACATAGGAGACTGAGACTCGGCCCAGAGGCATATCTCCACCCTGCTTTTTAACAAGTCTTGTTACCAACGAGAAAGCCGCTTGCTTTGTTATTACTCTACTGCGCAGGCGCCAAACTGTCATTTCCTCCCCCCCCTTTAGAGGTCTCGCTCATGCGCAGAATTGCGGACGTACGTGGTGAAAGAGCAAGGTGTGGGTAGCACGTGACCTCTGACGCGCCCAGCGTCTTCGGTGAGGGCGGAAGTGCTCGGCCACGCCCCTCTCTGAGTTTAGCCTTAACAGGGGAAAAGGATTATTATTATTATTATTATTATTATTATTATTATTATTATTATAAAACTTTATTTGTACCCCGCTAGCATCTCCCGAAGGACTCGATGCGGCTTACAAAGGCCAAGGCCTCAACACACAGTATAACAATACAAAACCTAAGGCAAATTAAAAACAATTAAAGCAATATAACAACAAGCGATAAACAATACACTAAGACACAATAAAACTGGGCCGGGCCAGAGTAATGGGTTTTGTTGTTTATTTGTTCAGTCACTTCCAACTCTTCATGACCTCATGGACCAGCTCACACGAGAGCTCCCTGTTGGCCTTACCACCCCCAGCTCCTTCAAGGTCAGTCCAGTCACTTCAAGGATGCCATCCATCCATCTTGCCCTTGGTCGGCCCCTCTTCCTTTTGCCTTCCACTTTCCCCAGCATAATTGTCTTCTCTAGACTTTCCTGTCTCCTCATGATGTGGCCAAAGTACTTCAACTTTGTCTCTAGTATCCTTCCCTCCAGTGAGCAGTCGGGCTTTATTTCCTGGAGGATGGACTGGTTGGATCTTCTCGCAGTCCAAGGCACTCTCAGAACTTTCCTCCAGCACCACAGCTCAAAAGCATCTATCTTCCTTCGCTCAGCCTTCCCTAAGGTCCAGCTCTCACATCCGTAGGTGACTACAGGGAATACCATGGCTTTGACTAGGCGGATCTTTGTTGCCAGTCTGATGTCTCTACTCTTTACTATTTTATCGAGACTGGACATTGCTCTCCTCCCAAGAAGTAAGCATCTTCTGATTTCCTGGCCACAGTCTGCATCTGCAGTAATCTTTGCACCTAGAAATACAAAGTCTGTCATGGCCTCCACATTTTCTCCCTCTATTTTCCAGTTGTCAATCATTCTTGTTGCCATAATCTTGGTTTTTTTGATGTTTAGCTGCAACCCGGCTTTTGCGCTTTCTTCTTTCACCTTGATTAGAAGGCTCCTCAGCTCCTCCTCGCGTTCGGCCATCAGAGTGGTGTCATCTGCATATCTGAGGTTGTTAATGTTTCTTCCAGCAATTTTCACCCCAGCTTTGCATTCATCCAGCCCCGCACATCCTCGCATGATGTGTTCTGCATACAAGTTTAAAAGGTTGGGTGAGAGGATGCAGCCTTGCCGTACGCCTTTCCCAATCTTGAACCAGTCTGTTGTTCCATGGTCAGTTCTGACTGTTGCTACTTGGTCCTTGTACAGATTCCTCAGTAGAGAGACAGGTGGCTTGGGATGCCCATCCCACCAAGAACTTGCCACAATTTATTATGATCCACACAGTCAAAGGCTTTAGAATAGTTAATGAAGCAGAAGTAGATGTTTTTCTGAAACTCCCTGCCTTTCTCCATTATCCAGCGGATATTGGAATTTGGTATCTCGTTTCTCTGCCTTTTCTAAACCCAGCTTGTACATCTGGCAACTCCCTCTCCGTGTATTGCTGGAGTCTTCCTTGCAGGATCTTGAGCATTACCTTACTGGCATGAGAAATAAGGGCCACTGTACGGAAGTTTGAGCAGTCTTTAAGGGTTTAGCCTTAGCAGGGAGAAAAGGATCTCCCTGAGTCGCCGTAAAGCGTCACGCAAGTAGGATGGTCCCAAACCGTTCAGGGCTTTGTAGGTAAGCACCTGCACCTTAAATTGGGCTCGGAAAATAAACGGCAGCCAGTGGAGCTCCTTGAACAGGAGGGTTGACCTCTCTCTGTAAGGGGCCCCAGTTAACATCCTGGCCGCTGCTCGTTGGACCAGTTGGAACTTCCGAGCCGTTTTCAAGGGCAGCCCCAGGATCTCCCTGAGTCGCCGTAAAGCGGAACAGACAATGGAGGAAGACATTTTGACCCCTCTTACGACAGCATCCTCTTTGGGTTGTTGTAGGTTTTTTCGGGCTATATGGCCATGGTCTAGAGGCATTCTCTCCTGGCGTTTCGCCTGCATCTATGGCAAGCATCCTCAGAGGTAGTGAGTTCTCTTGGAACTAGGAAAAAGGGGGTTATATATCTGTGGAATGACCAGAGTGGGACAAAGGACTCTTGTCTGTTGGAGCTAGGTGTGAATGTTTCAACTGACCACCTTGATTAGCATTTGATGGCCTGGCAGTGCCTGGGGCAATCATTTGTTGAGAAGTTCAACAATAAAGTTCAACAGTGACAAATGCAAGATACTCCACTTTGGCAGGAAAAACGAAATGCAGAGATACAGAATGGGGGACAATGCCTGGCTCAAGAGCAGTACGTGTAAAAAAGATCTTGGAGTCCTCGTGGACAACAAGTTAAACATGAGCCAACAATGTGATGTGGCGGCAAAAAAAGCCAATGGGATTTTGGCCTGCATCAATAGGAGCATAGTGTCTAGTCCAGGGAAGTCATGCTACCCCTCGATTCTGCCTTGGTTAGACCACACCTGGAATATTGTGTCCAATTCTGGGCACCACAATTCAAGAGAGATATTGACAAGCTGGAATGTGTCCAGAGGAGGCAACTAAAATGATCAAGGGTCTGGAGAACAAGCCCTATGAGGAGCGGCTTAAGGAGCTGGGCATGTTTAGCCTGAAGAAGAGAAGGCTGAGAGGAGATATGATAGCCATGTATAAATATGTGAGAGGAAGCCACAGGGAGGAGGGAGCAAGCTTGTTTTCTGCTTCCGTGGAGACTAGGACGCAGAGCAATGGCTTCAAACTCCAAGAAAGGAGATTCCATCTGAACATGAGGAAGAACTTCCTGACTGTGAGAGCTGTTCAGCAGTGGAACTCTCTGCCCCGGAGTGTGGTGAGGCTCCTTCTTTGGAAGCTTTTAAACAGAGGCTGGATGGCCATCTGTCAGGGGTGATTTGAATGCAATATTCCTGCTTCTTGGCAGGGGGTTGGACTGGATGGCCCATGAGGTCTCTTCCAACTCTTTGATTCTATGATTCTAGGTGATTAGATGTCCTTGTTTGTTTCCTCTCTGTTGTTTGCTGTTGTAATTTTAGAGTTTTTTAATACTGGTAGCCAGATTTTGTTCATTTTCATGGTTTCCTCCTTTCTGTTGAAATTGTCCACATGCTTGTGGATTTCAATGGCTTCTCTGTGTAATCTGACATGGTGGTTGTGAGAGTGGTCCAGCATTTCTGTGTTCTCAAATAATATTCTGTGTCCAGGTTGGTTCATCAGGTGCTCTGCTATGGCTGACTTCTCTGGTTGAAGTAGTCTGCAGTGCCTTTCATGTTCCTTGATTCGTGTTTGGGCAATGCTGCGTTTGGTGGTCCCTATGTAGACTTGTCCACAGCTGCATGATATACGGTAGACTCCTGCAGAAGTGAGAGGATCCCTCTTGTCCTTTGCTGAATGTAGCATTTGTTGGATTTTCTTGGTGGGTCTGTAGATAGTTTGTATGTTGTGTTTCCTCATCAGCTTCCCTATGCGGTCAGTGGTTCCCTTGATGTATGGCAAGAACACTTTTCCTCTGGGTGGATCTTTGTCTTTACTCTCGTGGCTTGTTCTTGGTCTTGCAGCTCTTCTGATGTCTGAGGTGGAGTATCCATTGGCCTGGAGAGCCCAGTTGAGGTGGTTCAGTTCATCTTGGAGGAGGTGGGGTTCGCAGATGCTTTTTGCACGGTCTGCCAAGGCTTTAATGGTGGTGCTTCTTTTTTGACTTGGGTGATGGTTGGAGTTTTTATGTAGGTATCTATCTGTGTGTGTGGGTTTTCTGTAAACGTCAGGAGAGAATGCCTCTAGACCATGGCCATACAGCCCGAAAACACCTACAACAACCCAGTGATTCCGGCCATGAAAGCCTTCGACAATACATCCTCTTCGGGGCTTGTTAGAGAGGGCAGGGCTTGCCCTTTGTGGAACTCGCCTGGCAGCTCTAGGCCTCTAACCCATTCGCTTGGAGAAATCTAATGGGCGGGTGTTAGGAAAGCTAGCTAGAGATCTAGGGCCCTTCCACACATTCCTATAGCCCAGAATATCAAGACAGATATTTATTTTATTTATTTACAGTATTTATATTCTGCCCTTCTCATCATCATCATCTTTAATTACTTATTAATCGCCCTCCATCCGAGATGCTCCAGGCGATTTACATAGCAGAAATTATACAGGATAAAACACATACATACAAATATTAAAATTAACATGGGTCAAATGCTCTAGTAAAAAGCCAGGTCTTAAGTGCTAGGATAAAATGCCCTAAGTCACGCATAGCTCTCAAATAGGGAGGCAAGGAATTCCATAAGGCAGGGGCAGAAATAGAGAAGGCCCTGCGTCTGGTGCTTTCCAAGTGCACTTCTCAAGGACATGGTATATAGAGTAAGTTGCGTTGGGCTGGTTGTTGTGACCTCCGATGATGGGAGAAGGAGAGGTGGTCCCTAAGATATGATGGACCCTGACCGTAAAGAATTTTAAAGGTCAGAACTGGCATCTTATACAGGCCACGGTACTCATTTGGAAGCTGAGGCGAGGGAGAGAGACTATTTCCTCTTTAAAAACTTCTTTGCTGCCTTATACTGATTCAGTTTCTTCTTTTATATTGGTAGGGACTTTCTGTGTGCTGTTAAACCTTTGTATTTTATATCGCAGGCAATGAAACACTCTTGTGTATAACAAAGTAACACAGTTTATTTATAACTTCTGGCTCCAACGCTTGTGGTTACATTTGTGTTTTGTTGCAATCTTGAGGCTTACAGTCAATATCATTTACTTGATTAACTTTTCTGAATAAACTCTTAATGTTTCATATTCACAAACATGTTACTTGCTGTACACACTTTTGACTGAATTATATTCTGAACTAAGGCAACACTAGCCTTCTTTATATTCCTTAAAACTCGAGCTCTATTTACTAACTGCTTCTCTATATCAGAAGTCTTTAACACATCTTCATAACAGTTATTTCTATCAGGCACTCAAAAACCAACGCTTCTCTTCACACACAGATTCCAAACTGTCATTTTCAAACTCCCTCACTCTAACTGCCTCTTTCAGAACCTTGGCTCTGCCCCTTTGGAATGTTCAGCTCTGCTCTCCCCAACTGTCATTTTGGCCTAGCAGCCTTTTCAAATCCTGGGCCTACACTAATCTGCATATGACCAATCGGCTTCACATATGCAAATGAATCCTATCTCTGCTGTTGCTACCCTGTCTGTGCCTATTCTTCCCTATCTGCCATATGTAAACATAGAGCTATACACCAAAACTTTAACATAGAGTAGCAATTTCACTACAGAAGCCAATGTAAATGTTGCAGCACTGGTGTTATATGGCATTTCATGGGCGTTCTTGTGAGTAACCTGGCTGCCGTATTCTGAACAATACAGAGCTTTTGGGTCGTAGACATACAGGGCGTTGCAATAGTCCAAATCAGATATGTGCAGTGTTTGAGGACTCCTGGTTTATATAGACATCAAGTCACAGGAAACTCCAAATTTTGGGCCACAATTAGAGCACCCTGCAACTTCGGTGGTCTTGCCACATGTTGCCTTGGATTACCTCTTTGTGGTATTTGGTCAACACAGCCGATCTGAGTCCCTTTGTGGTAAGTCTGCTCAGTTTGCTGCGGCTTTATTGTATTTATGTCCCACAAGGTTGTCAGATAATCAGAGGGCAGTTGAAAGAACAAAATGATATAGAGTAATAATATGAAACAATTATACAGAAAAAAATGAAAAAGTCTTAACATTCGAATTGAAAAATGGAGGGCTGACCCTTACTTGGCTGCTGGCAGTCAGGAGTTCTTGGCAAGTGGAACTGTCCAGTGGCTAAAGCAGAGATGACAAAGAGGGCCGGTTTTGGGTTCTTCCTTTTGCTGCTGGCAGCTGAAGCTTTCTATCTTGGCACAATATCCAGTTCAAGTGAAAATAATGTGTGCGTTTTGCTGATTCCATGCTAATGAGCTCCAGTTTTCCCAGCTCATTGTATATCTCCTATGTAACTATTTGTACCAAGGGAATTGCCCAGCCCTGTAATAGCTTTCTAGCTGAACTGAATTTAATCCTTTTTCTTCCTGTGGCCTTCATGCTCCGCCGGCTTGCTTGCCTCAGTGTTGTTTAGTAATTTTCTCCATGTGAACAGCTCTTCCCTTGGGAATTACTTGCAAATGTTTCACTTTGCTTAATGAGTCATTTGGCATTTTTAAGTGCCTCACAATATTTCTAGGTTTGGGGTGTAGGGGTTGCTGTTTCCAGGGGGAAGAAACATTCATGGGAGGGGTCAAATTGAGAGGTTGCCTTCTTAGCGGAGGCAATCTGCTATTCATCAGTTGCACTGGATGCTGAGAGTATAAAGCAGACATATAGTTATTTTGCAGATTTGGTATAGCACTTGCATTTCCATAAATTGGCTGAGGCAAGGCCTTCATGAAAGGAGACCGCATTCCTGTTATGTTGTTAAGGTGTTGTGCATTTTGTCTATCAGTCAATGCTCTTATGGGCAAAATTGGACGGTAATAACCTGCCTGTGGGACACTAGTCACAAAATTATGGAGAACGGAGTGCCAAAGTCCACCGCAGAGGGGGTTCAGTGTCACCTGAGGCCAGAGACTGGCAAGGCTCTGCAAAGCTTCACAGTTCCATGGAGATACTGGGAGGTCCTCCTCTGTGTGATACAGCTGTGAAAAATAAATGCAAAGTGTGATTCCTGGATACTTCATCAAGAAGCGGTAGATTTTGCTTATGCAGCAGTGCTCAGCCTCGTTGCAAGGGGAATAGTTGGAATAGAGAATTATGTACATGGCATTTTCCCAGTTGTGTACGACAGAGTCGAGGTAGCCTCCAGTTTCAAATAACATTGATTCTGGATGGATGTCATTCTCTGTACAGTTCGTTGCGTGACCCTTTTGCATTCGTTTACCTGAGAAGTGCCTTACTTCATAAAAGAGAAGGTGTTTACTTTGGTGATGTGTTGGCCCATAGGGGAATCCAAAAGCTTGATGGAATTCAGCATAAGGGACCCTGGCCTGCTCCCCTGTTCTTATATGATAAGGACATCTGGCACAGGCCTGGCTTGTGTTTAGCCAGTAATATGGCTTCACCACTGTACCATGGGGCACTAGGTACTCTTGACAAAAAGCTTCGGTTTCTGGGTCCATGAGGCTCCGGAAATCTTGCCCTGTTACTGTAACAGTCCTGAAATACACATACACACAAGCAAAAAACATTAGTTATTTCTCCCGCTTCCTTTGAAACTTTGACATTGCATTTATATTATAATTTACACTGCTTTGAAACTGGTTTAGTTATACCAAAAAGTTAGGTACAATATTGAGGTTCTGTTTTTTCGATAGAGCTGGTGTAGTGAAATTGCTATTCTATGTTAAAGTTTTGGTGTATAGCTCTATGTTTACATATGGCAGATAGGGAAGAATAGGTACAGACAGGGTAGCAACAGCAGAGATAGGATTCATTTGCATATGTGAAGCCAATTGGTCATATGCAGATTAGTGTAGGCCCAGGATTTGAAAAGGTTGCTAGGCCCAAAATGACATTTGGAGAGAGCTGAACATTCCAAAGGGGCAGAGCCAAGGTTCTGAAAGAGGCATTTAGAGTGATTGCTACAAAACACAAATGTAACCACAAGCATTGGAGCCAGAAGTTATAAATAAACTGTGTTACTTTGTTATATACAAGAGTATTTCATTGCCTGTGACATAAAGCACAAAGGTTTAACAGCACACAGAAAGTCCCAGCCAATATAAAAGAAGAAACTGAATCAGTATGAGGCAGCAAAGAGGTTTTTAATAAGGAAATAGTATCTCTCCTTCGCCACAGCTGGGTAATAATAATAATAATACTTTATTTATACCCCACTACCATATCCCCATGGGACTCGGTGCGGATTACATGAGGCCGAGCTCCATACAACAATACAAGCAATAATAACAACAATACAAGCAATTTAAAATCAAACATAAACAATAAAACAATAACGTAAGCATTAACAATAAGACAACACACTATTAAACTCTATGGGAAGGCCAAATGTAAATTGAAATTAAAATGCTGGACATGCGCAAAAAGAGTGGTGGGGCATTTGTGGAAGACATACAAGCAGACCTAAAACAATGTAAAGTGCTTTAGAGGACAAAGTGTTGTAGGATCATTATTCTGGGAAGGCACACTGGAATAACCACGTCTTCAAGCTCCTTCTAAAGACTGCCAGAGTTGGGGCATGCCTGATGTCCTTAGGAAGTGAGTTCCAGAGGGGCCACCATCGAAAAGGCCCTCTCTCTCGTCCCCACCAATCGTGCCTGCGATGCAGGTGGAGGCGCAAGCAGGGCCTCTCCAGATGATCAAAGAGACCGTGTGGGTTCATATACAGAAATGCAGTCACGCAGGTAAGCGGGTCCCAAACCATTCAGGGCTTTGTAGGTAAGAACCTGCACCTTGAATTGGAAAATGAATGGCAGCCAGTGGAGCTCCTTAAACAGGAGGGTTGACCCTCCTGTAAGGATGCGGGGAATGCTGTGGATGTAGCATACCTGGATTTCAGTAAAGCCTTCAACTAGGTCCCCCATGACCTTCTGGCAAACAAACTAGTCCAATGTGAGCTAGGCAAAACTACGGTGAGGTGGATCTGTAATTGATTAAGCGGACAAACCCAGAGGGTGATTCTCCCCAGTGCTTCCTCTTCATAACAGTTTAAGTAATGTACCAGTAAGGCCTTCTCGCGGATCACCCTGAGAATTTGGGGGGGGGGGTTAAGCCCCTTAAGCCCCCCCCCCCCCCACGGCTACATGCCTGAATCCAAGCCACAAAAGGACAAAAAGTATGCAGTAGAAGGCAGTCTTGCTTCCCAGAAATGAGATAAGATATCCTTTGCACTGCAGAAATAAGCATAAGCTATTATATCCTTAGACTGAATAACAGTTGTACTTACAATCAGTGTGTCTCATAACCGGCATACCAATCCTAAATGGCTGTGACTAAGCAGAGGAACATGGTTGTGTTGACAATTTCAAATGCTAGGATACTCAGATGTAAATAGAAGACTTGCCCTCGTTTGATTTTGCAAGGCTTTTCAAATCAGTTCCTGTGCCTCTTAAGAACTTGATTACTGTTATAATTCAGATACACAGAGTGACGTATATGGTACGTTTATAGACTAAGGTGTACATACACAGCCTTTTTTTTTTTTTGCAAAGAACTCATGTTCTAAGGCAGGGGTCCTCAACCTTCTTAAACAGAGGGCCAGGTCACAGTCCCTCAAACTGTTGGAGGGCCAGATTATAATTTGGAAAAAAAACAACAACCATGAATGAATTCCTATGTACACTGCACATATATTATTTGTAGTGCAAAAAAGCACTTAAAAACAATACAATAATTAAAACAAAGAACAATTTTAACAAATATAAACGTATTTGTATTTCAATGGGAAGTGTGGGCCTGCTTTTGGCTGATGAGATCGGATTGTTGTTGTTGTGTGCTTCCAAGTCATTTCAGACTTAGGTTGACCCTGAGTGAGGGCCGGGTAATGACCTTGGAGGGCTGTATCTGGCCCCCCGGGCCTTAGTTTGAGGACCCCTGTTGTAGGGCCTAGCAACAGCCCTTCTGGGATAGAGAGGCATACTCTGACTTTTATAGAGAGAGATTTGCAAAACACTTTAAATATATTATCTAGTTTAGCTATCTCTACCAACATGCCGGCCACATGACCTTGGAGGTGTCTACGGACAACGCCGGCTCTTTGGCTTAGAAATGGAGATGAGCACCACCCCCCAGAGTCGGACACGACTGGACTTCATGTCGGGGGAAACCTTTACCTTTACTTACTTACTTACTTACTTACTTAGGCGATCCCTCATTGGCCGAGTAGGATAGTCTTCCAGGATCAGTATTCTGGTGGGTCCGTAGCTATAAGTAACCAATCCATCTGGTGGGTCCGTAGGTGACTGTGGAGCCCTGTTCTTGATCTGCATCTTCTCCCACAGTGAGGGCATTGGTTTCCAGGTGGAAGGCGGTCTCGGTCGGGGTTGGCTTGAAGCACCTTCCTCTTGGCACGTTTCTCTCTTTCACCCTCCATTCATGCCGCTTCAAATTCTGCAGCACTGCTGATCACAGCTGACCTCCAGCTGGAGCTCTCAAGGGCCAGGGCTTCCCAATTCTCAGTGTCTATGCCAGAGTTTTTAAGGTTGACTTTGAGCCCATCTTTAAATCTCTTTTCCTGTCCACTAACATTATATTTTCCGTTCTTGAGTTCGGAGTAGAGCAACTGCTTTGGGAGACAGTGGTCTGGCATCTGTACAATGTGGCTGGTCCAGCGGAGTTGATGGCGGAGCACCATCGCTTCAATGCTGGTGGTCTTTGCTTCTTCCAGCATGCTGACGTTTGTCCACCTGTCTTCCCAAGAGATTTGCAGGATTTTCCGGAGGCAGCGCTGATGTGACGCCTGTAGACAGTCCACATCTCGCAGGCATATAGCAGGGTTGGCAGGACAATAGCTTTATAAACAAGTGCCTTGGTATCCCTACGGATGTCCCGGTCCTCTGCTTCATTTGGAAAAATGCTGCACTCACAGAGCTCAGGCGGTGTTGTATTTCGGTGTCGATGTTGACTTTGCTGGAGAGGTGGCTGCCAAGGTAGCGGAAATGGTCAACGTTTTCTAATGTTACACCATTAAGCTGTATCTCTGGCATTGGAAAGGGGTTGGCTGGTGACTGCTGGAACAGCACTTTGGTTTTCTCGATGTTCAATTTACCTTTATGTGCCGTTGCTCCTGGGGGCTATAACTCTTAATGAAGGAGGCATGGATGTGGCATCTTTCCCCAGGGGATTGCTTCTTGCCCTCCTATAGGAAACTGGAACTCTCAAAAACCCAAAATGCTGTAAATAACTCAAGATAAGTTTTATTGATCACAAAGAGTTATTTCTTTAAAGCAATGAGCTGGAAACTTCAGGGGGGTGAAGGAAAATATACGTTACAGTCTCAGTTAGTCCTGGGTCCAAGGTGTTTGAAGCTGAGAAGCCTTTCCAAGTTTCCTCTTTCCTCAATGGCTGTGAATGCCGGAGCAAACCACAACCCCAGTTCAGATGGCCTATGTTTGAAGACTCAGGATCTTCCTTTGGTGCCAAAAGAACCAGTTTGAAGGCGCTTGAGACTTCCAACGTCGTTCAGGTTGATCTGAACATGAAGCACAAGTCTCAAAGGTAAAAAACCTCAGAACTGGTGCTGAGAGGTAATTTAAATCAGGGTCTTTTAGAGTCAAGTCTCTTACTCATATCCATCTGGTAGAAACTTTGATGGCAGAATGAAAAGAAAGGAAGCACTCCCCTCCTGCAGGAAGAGGTGGAGCCAAACAGTACTGATTGACAGCTATAAGTAACCAATCCATACAACTATACATAAGCAGGGTAAAAAGGCAGGATTAAGCATGATTGTTGTTGTTGTTCATTCGTTCAGTCATCTCCGACTCTTTGTGACCTCATGGACCAGCCCACGCCAGAGCTCCCTGTTGGCTGTGGCCACCCCCAGCTCCTTCAAGGTCAGTCCAGTCACTTCAAGGATGCCATCCATCCATCTTGCCCTTGGTCGGCCCCTCTTCCTTTTACCTTCCACTTTCCCCAGCATAATTGTCTTCTCTGAGCTTTGCTGTCTCCTCATGATGTGGCCAAAGTACTTCAACTTTGTCTCTAGTATCCTTCCCTCCAATGTGCAGTCGGGCTTTATTTCCTGGAGGATGGACTGGTTGGATCTTCTCGCAGTCCAAGGCACTCTCAGCACTTTCCTCCAACACCACAGTTCAAAAGCATCGATCTTCCTTCGCTCAGCCTTCCCTAAGGTCCAGCTCTCACATCCGTAGGTTACTACAGGGAATACCATGGCTTTGACAAGGTGGATCTTTGTTGCCAGTCTGATGTTTCTTCTCTTTACTATTTTATCGAGACTGGACATTGCTCTCCTCCCAAGAAGTAAGCGTCTTCTGATTTCCTGGCCACAGTCTGCATCTGCAGTAATCTTTGCGCCTAGAAATACAAAGTCTGTCACAGCCTCCACATTTTCTCCCTCTATTTTCCAGTTGTCAATCATTCTTGTTGCCATAATCTTGGTTTTTTTGATGTTTAGCTGCAACCCAGCTTTGTGCTTTCTTCT